TTTTGAATTTGTGTGTTAAACAGTAAAATTCATCTGGGGGCTGTCTTGTATTTTATGTGAAGGAGAGAGAGCAAGCAAGGGAAAAACTGATTCCTTCCATGTTTCTTTTATTCATGTAATAATAAAAAAGAGCTCTTTGAATGCGGTTAGGGCGTATTTGTTCACCAGTCCCATAGGAAGTGGTATTTTCTGTGCAGCATAAAAACACACAGCTCTCAGGTATTTCTCTCAAAGTCGCCAAAAAAAAAAAAAAAAAAGCATGCACACACACAAACCCAAAACAACACCCTAAACCAATCTTCAGGCAGAGTGGGACTCCCAAGGAACACTACTACCTATTCTGAAGTTTTCTGTCCCCAAATTTTCATTTTATTTTCCCTCTAGAATAGCTAAATTAAAATGAGGACAAGTGGCTAAGCTGATTTCTTAGTGAGCAGTAGTGAAACTGGTTAGAACTTCCCTGTCTTTCCTCCCTCAGTCCTCTTGACCTTAAGGCCAATTGTATGTTAAAGAACAGTGGGCTACTGGTTATATAGTACATTAGTACATCATGCTTTAATATCTTCAGTAGGAGGAAGAATTACTGAAAACCCATAAGGGATACTGCTGCATTTGAGAATTCCTAAATTTGGCCTTTTTGGCTGATTTTGAACTGTAGATATTGTCCATATGCTGAGCAGAATTCGGGCCCTTATTCAATGGAGTTCTTAATCACAAACCTAACTCCAACCATATGGATGTTCCCACTTATCATGGGTGTTGACAAAGTCATCTTCAAGACTCCATTTGCTGACCTCTCTAAATATAGCCTGCTTTGTTTTCTGCTAGCATAAGAAGTGATATTTAACCATTCATCCTGTACTATCTTCCCCTCCATTCTTTTTCATCCCCAGAACACATTAGATTCTTTCAGACTGGAGGAATTTCATACTTTACAGAGTGGATGGGGCACAGAAAAAGAACTGTTAATCAAAAAGGCCAAGGAAACAAAATTGCACAGAGCATGGAATTTCAAAACACATTCATTTGGGGTTGGCAGAGGCCCCTGGACATCATAGAGTCCAACACCCTGCTGAGAGCAGGGTGAACCAGGGCAGGTTGCTCAGGGCCATGACCAGTCAGGTTTTGGATACACCCAAGGTTGGAGACTCTGCAACCTCATCCAGTGCTTGATCACTCCTACAGTAAAAAAAAATATTTTTCTTGTAGTTAAGTGGAATTCCTGCATTTCAGTTTGTGCCCATTGCGGGCCATCCTATCACTGGACACCACTGAGAAGAATGGCTCATCTTCAACACGTGTTGGTAATATCCCCTTGAGCCTTCTCTTCTGCTTCAACACTCCCATCTCTCTCAGCCCCTCCCCATGTGCCATTTGCTCTCAGCCCTTTATCATCTTCCTGTACCTTCATTTGATGCAGTGCAATGTGTCCATGTCTCTCGTTCACTGGAGCTGGCTACCTTTAAGATGGGAAATGTATTTTAATTTAACAAATAATTAATAAACCTTTTGAAGATATTTTTTTCCTAGTTGCACAAAAGTCACAAAATCAGAGCAAAAACATTCTTCAATTTTGGATTAATTAGGTTAGCAGTAGCAGCTTACAAGGTTATTAGACATAAGAGGCAAGAAGGCCACATGTGCACTATTACAGCTTTTCAAATGTGACTAAATTCATACTGGAGACTCACAGTGAAATCTGAAGTTTGGTATTTTGTGTACTGTTGCTGTTCATGTTGGTGTCTTTTTTTTCTCTTCAACTTTCTAACTTCCGTGCTAGTTAATCATTTATAAGTGTTCAATACTATACTAGATTTACAGGGAGTAACTTTGGCTCGCTGCCTGCATAAGTAGTACTTTTTCTTTTTTTTTTTTTTTTTTTAAAGTTTTAATGTGCTGCAAGTCTGTGGCCACTGTTGAGTCATGCTGTATAACTAGGCCAAGCAGGGATGTCTCGCTTATTTCTGTGTTTCTGAGGATATTTCTAACATTCTGCTCTAATTAACAGAATGAAGAAATGAGGGAAAACAAGTTTTTTTTGTATATATATATATATTTAATATGACCTCCAATTACTTAAGGGGAGAGTTAAACTTAACACTTTGAGTTCTCCTGTTAAAATGAAACTAAAGTGGTGGGTCATTTGTACTGTGTAAGCACATGGGGAGAAAATATTTGATGCTAAAATAGTGGGTTGATAAAAGGTCACTTTAACAGGAGCAGAAGGCATAACAGGAATCACAGCCTGAAAACTGAGGCCAGAAAATTTCAAATTAGAAGCAGGGTTCACATTTTTAATAAGAGAGGTGGCTAACCTTTGGAGAAAATTGCTGGTTGGCAAATTAAATATTTCTCCATACCTGCAAGTAAAGACTAGAGGATTTTCTGGAATATGCACTGTAGACAAACATGTATTTGTCCTGTATTTGTCACACTTGTAAAGACTCTGCTTAAGTAGGATTAGATACACAGAAAAGCTTGGAGAGGGTAAAAAAAGTGGATACAGTCATTTAGAAAGATGAGGCAATCTACCCCCAGTCAAATCTCAGCGACTGCAAGATGAGGGAGAAGCTCAGAGCAGCTGCTCCGGGGAGCTGCTCTTCACCACCATGGTGTCACCGCAGGGGGATGGAGCTGAGGAACCCATAACCCTCCAGGATGCAGTGGTCCTGTGGTTAAGACCTAGGAAGGAAACAGGCGAGAAGAATCCTCTCGATGCAATTTTAAGGCTGGGGCTGGTGGGAGGAAGCGGGGACTTGTGAGGCCCTGCCTGGCCTGACCTCCCACGCTGCAGTTCAGAGAGGATCAAGCGGCTCACAAGTGGTCCTTCTGTGAACATGACTGCTGGTGAAGTCAGTCAGATCTTTCTAGAAGAACAGATACAAGGACAGGATGAGCAAGGAGCAAAAGTAATGTAACTCAAAATGCCCATTTTAACAACAGAGATAACATTTGGCTAATTCACAGATGCCTGGTAGTGTGCATGGCGTACTCTCTGATCCTTGGATGGAAGGTACTACGAACACAACGTTTTTTTTCTTGTGATCCGAAGCGTGTGTAAGGCCTTGAAGATGAGTCAGCTATGAATTAATAATGCGCTCAGCAATTAAGAAAGCCATATAATTTAGTGAAATTATTTTCTTATGGCAGCAGAAGGTACACTGCGACTCCTGCAGCTAGGTCACAGTTCTGTCGCTCCTTATGATCCTCCCACCGAAACCAGCGTGGCCTCGAGAATGCTTCTCATCTGGCTGAATTGTGGCTGTGGGCCCATGACTCAGAAACAGCAGATCACTGTGAACCGCGTCTGAGACTTACAAAAGCCTGTCCCTGCGTAAAGGTTCAGCTCCCATCAACTCGACTGGTCTTCTCTAGAAATCTCTGGCATGAGTTGCTCAGATTACCTGCTCTTATCTGACCCGCCTAGAGAAACTCCGAGAAAAGTTGTTTATGCAAATTACTGGCCTAAAAATAAGAACAGCATTTATAACGCATTTCAGATATCAGTAAATTACAATTCCTGGGGAGCTGTGTTCAGAACACAGTAATAGCTCTGGTCCTTCTGCATAGGGCTGAGAAGATGATAGGAAGTAATACATCACTGGGAAATTGGTATTTGTTGTCAGATTATTATTTTTTTTTGACTGTGAAACATTGCTTTAATTAGTGCATTTTTGTTGTTATTTTTATTAAAGGCTTTTTGTTACACGCTAAGGGAATAACCAGGGACCATTATGTAAATGCAAAGTGTCATCTTCATTTTACATATGGTTCCTGCTCTAAGTCATACTTTACATAAATTATCATAGCACAGAATAAATCATTTGGTACTTAAAGTTGTCAACTGGTGTAAGCAGAAGCATGCTTTGTTACTAAAATCAAAGAGAGATTCTTAAAATGCATAACTTTCCTAGCAGCCTGAGATCTCTTTCATACTTATATTTTGGTGATCTTGCTCTGTTGAGATGAAGAGTTTTCATTTTGGAGGAAGCCATGAATACACATCCTTTTATAAATAATCAAGTCAGATCATCACATTTTGTTTTGGTTATATTTACCCTACTTGTGGATTTTGAATAAAATCAGTGTCACAATGACCTTACAAATATCTTATCAAAACTTTATCTCAGCCCTGTCTCTCAAATGCCATACCCAAGTGCTCACATTGTCCAGCACCACATCACCTTTCCTACCTTCTCAGTGCTATCCGAACTGGCCAGTTGGCATGTTAAACATTTCATTGCCTCCTACCTAATTTGAAGTACGCAATTCCTTCTTTTGGATTATGTAAAAATAAATGATTTGCCTTTCAGGCCAACCAACAGAGATCTTAATCTGCTGGGCCTCTCAGAAATCCCAACCTTTATTTACACCAGTGCAGTTATTTAGCAAGCAAACCCACTGTGGCCCACAGTACATAACAAAATGATGTTTGTCAGCAGCAAGGTATATACTGAACTCAGCACCTCAGTGCTCGAAATATTACTGAGGCTTTGTAGGCAGCAAAAATGCAAAGGAGAATTTGGGAGAGGCAGTTGGAAGGTGGTTATCTGAAGCAAACTACAGTTCTTCTCTCAAGTTTAGCCAGCTGCTTTAGGAATGGATACTGTCTGTTAGGAGATGCTGACACAACCTGTGAATAGAGAGAGCAATTTCTAGAAGTTCTGAAAGCATTCTTATAATTATGCCAGGTTTTCAGATGATCTAGACTTGGTACTTTGGATTGATTAATTGATTATTTGCATCATAGCATCTACTGTTAATGATAACCTGTTAGAAGTATTTAGCACCAACCTGAAATACCATGACAGCTCAGACAAAATGGTCAGGTATTTCTGCTGGAGCTTAAGATGAACCTCTGAAACCTCTGAACCATTGATGAAATTCGTTTGTTTGTTTATTTCAATGGAAGGCTCTATTTTTAAGCATTTCTCTTTGTTAGAAAGGTCTAATAGCTGTGGACTGGCTTGGAAAAAGCCTGCCTAGCACAGTACAGTATCTATGGAAGAGGCTGGTAGGAGATAATGATGGAGAAGTAGAGAACCTCAGTGTGTCCAAAGCAGCATTTGGATCCCTGTGTTTTGTAGTCACTGGAGATTATTTATCCTTGGAATTTTTCTAATCTATATTGAACCCAGTTTTACTTTATCCTCCAGAACATCCTGCGTCTGTGAGTTTGGCAAACTGTAGGGTGAGGAAAAAAAATAATTTTTCCTTACGTTTTTTTAAACGTATAAGCTGCCTGTTAACCTGGTAAGCACCTGTGCCCAAGGGTGGTTTGCATCTGTCTTTCTCTTCCTTTGTATTCAGCGAGTGTTGCTGACATGGTGATAGGTACTAAATAAAAAAATATGATTACCAAATGGGAAGTATGAGGGCAACTAATCTTTTCAAGAAGATTATGTATTCTGTGCACAGATGATGGCTTTTTAGTGTCCACGGACTCACTTAGTGCCAGTAAGATAAGCACATACTTTTTTATCATCTTTGGAAGCACTGTAGCCCACAAAGCAGTTTGTGATACTGCTGCTGTGAAAGTCCTCATCTTTGCATTGGTGATGCAGCCTCCTGATCCATGGTGGTGTGTTTGGAGTCATTGTTTGGAGTCATTGGAGTCATTTGTCATTGTCAGATGACCCACTGTTAATGGGTCATACTCAACCTGGACCTTCAGCAAGTGGAGTAGCACCAGGCCTGTCCGGGGACGTGCTCCTTTTAATAGCGAGGACCTGGGGTAGGAGGCTGCGTGCATTCACCAGGCCTACAGATGACATTGAGCTGGGGGAACCAGTCAGCATGCTCAAGCACAAGGCTGCCATTCAGAGCTACCTAGACAGGCTGGAGGAATGTGTCGGTGACAACCTTATGAAATTCAGCAGGGACAAATGCAAAGTCCTGCACGTGGGAAGGAAGGCCGCCTGGTAGCAATACAGGCTGGGGACTGACTGGCTGGGGAGCAGCTGTGCTGGATGGGATTGTAGGGCTGTGATATGCAGCCAGCCAAATGCAGGACAGCAGAATGCCCCAGCAGCAAAGGGGGGCAACTGCGTCCTGGGCTCTGTCAAGAGAAGCAGCGCCAGTAGATAGAGATAACTGGTTATCTGCCCTAGCAGTCGTCAGATCATGCCTAGATACAGTGGCTCACTTTGGCTTCCTGAGTACAGGGAAGACATTGATAAACTGGAATGAGTTCACTGAAGGCCCACCAAGACAGTTGGGGCTGGAGCACCTGCCCTGTGTGTGCAGAAATAGAAGTTTCCAGAATGATGTGGGAGCCTAGCTGAATGTGTAGCTTCCAGATATGGTGTTTAGAAGACATCACATCCCATGAATGCTTTGGAACACTGACCAGAAAATATGATTCTGTATCCTCACTTTTACCAATAATCTACAGTGGAGAACTTGATGGACATGATCTTGGTGACACTTGACAAGAAAAAGAAGTAGGTGCCCCTTCATGCTTCTTTGGAAACCTGAGAGCTCTCGAACTCCTGAAATGCTACTATCTGTATGGAGTGTCTGTTAGCTTTTCACTTGCGGGAGGTAAAGATAAACTTGTGAACTTGTAGAGCGGAAGGGCAATTCTTGAGAAGCCGATGCTGAGCTGATAAAGATCAGTGGGGCTTCCTGTGATCTATTTGCTGACAAAGGCATTAACAAAGCCAACATTTTCATTCCAGGAGCACGAGTTCAGGGACATAGATCATTGTCTCGCTGCTTGTGGTCTCCTTTTCTTTCTCAATCAGTTCCTCCAGTTTCAACAAGATTTCCAAGGGCCAAGGAGAGGAAGCCATGACCACTTCCAGAGACCCAAGCTAGCTGGTGTAGAGCTGGCAATATCCACCCTCCACTGGAGACTTCAGCAGCTGGTGCTTGCTTCACAGTGTTAATGTCAAAGACCTTAAGCAGTTCCACATTCTTTCCAGCAAACACGCAGGCTACACACACAACCAGAGTTACTGGTCCAGCTCAGGCAGGACATCACCGGGACCAGCAGCTCTCCAGAGCCAGGCACGGAGTGGGGAGGTGCCACGACAGGGCCCACAGCCATGGCCCCGAGCTGTCTGTCCTGGCACAGAACATTGCCTGTCAAAGGACGCAGAGAGACCCATAACTCAGTATTCAAGCTATGCTCTGGGGCTGCAGATCCTGAAGCAGAACCCTTCATCTTGTTAGTCATCTCTGTCAGAGTCCACCCTTGTGGTACAGTTGTTCTCAATCTCCTCTCACTGCTGGTGCTGCGGTTGCTCGTGGCCTTGCTGCAGAATTATCCATCAACGAAGAATGTGCCTTGCCCACGGCATCTTGAAACGCACCAGTCCCACTTTTGTTGCTTTTTTCTTCAGAATGCAGATGATTCTGTACAGTTATGAACTGTAGAAATAGAAAAATAGAAAAATTCACTGTCACTGAATTATCTCCTTTCTCAGTTATTATGTTCTGCCTTTGCTTACACTGCTCTGTTCTCTTAAATGCATGTCTTGTCCTGCATATTTGCTGTTAACCAGTGTTAATGTTTAAATCAAAAAGAGAGCAGCTGAGCTTCTAAGTCCTAGGCAGGCAGTGGGGCTGAGGAAAAAAAGACTACAAAAAATTCCCCTCAAGCCTATGCCTTGTAAATGAAATTAATTTTATCTGGAAGCCATTGAGACATAAAACATGCAGGATTTTAATGTCATTTTGATGAGACACTTTTCAGAGCAAATCACACTTTAAAAACCCAAAGTTTTAATAGCTGCGTATGTTTGCTAAAAGCCAGCAAGTACAGACAGACATATTTTTAGAATGGAATAGAAAGAAACAGACCATTACTGGTTATTTAGAGAAAGTAAGGGAATCAATAAATCTCTGCTCTATATGGAAAGAGACCTCATGAGAATATTTCGGTTGCGACAAGAATTATTAAAAATTAAGACAGCAAAATTGTCTTCATTGTTTAACTCCTCGTGACTGGGTATTGCAAAACTCAAATTATTCTGTCATACATGTGTATTTTCAGCAATGACACTGCATCAGTAAAATGAATATTGAAATAGGTAGGGGACTTCTTAGGTTTAATTTAAGACTTCAAACAAAGGCAGGCAGCTTTTAAGCAACGCATGGTTTCCATGCAGCGAGTACCTTCGCCTTTGTTATACAGGCACTGTACTGTACAATGGCTTTCCAGTGTTGTTTTTTTTTTTTCTTTCTTTTTCTTATTTTATTCTTCAGTTAGTCTTCACACTGAGCTGAGGAAGGATGGTATGTAATTTAATCTAATGAAGGTTATTGCAGAGGTAATTGTTGCTTGGGTGATATTAAAGTAGCACTTTGCAGCTGATGAGCACTTCACTTCCCATTTCAAAGCTAAAAAAATTTAAAAAAATAAATAAATAACACCCTGAGAAATGGCATAATTTAGATCTCTTTATAAGAAAGCATTAGAGCATTCTCCAGTATGAGGAATATTTATCATCTGTCCTCATATGTAATTTGCCAGCATAACTAATTAAGAAAAATAAGACAAAGCCACCAAGTACTGTGATTGCAGATCCTCCATTAGTGGCAGTGTAACCACATTTTGGAGTTTAGGAATAAAGGAGTAGATATTTTTAGATATTTTTGCCCAGTGGAGGCACTTGCGTGCCATAATTAAAATTTGCCTTTGTGTCGTTAGTTTTCCTAATCCTGCTTGCGTGCTTGCTGTCATGTACAGTCCCATTGTGGGAGTATGCTCTGATCTGGGATTAATAACCAGAGTCTGGCTGTGCCCTGCTCTCCAGTTTGGACTCAGGCGTGTTACGTTCGTATGCACAGTGCTCGACTTGTGAGGCAGTTGTCTGGCTGTGACGAAGACTTGGATTGGTGAGAACAGCTTCGAGGTTCTTGGCAAAGCCTGCTGGACGTCCAGCATGACCAATTTGATTCACGCTGGAAGCATAAAAGGTGATCTCAAAGGACATAACCCATCGGCAGCGGAGCAGATGACAGACCAGCCATGATGTTCATATATGCTTTAACAGCTTTAATAAGTGGAACATAACTGCCGCCTGCTTGCAGAGCCAGATCACGAACTCCTTATCTTGTAAATCTCTATTGAGCTCATGGGACTGACTAAAAACCCACAATATTTTCTGTAAGAAGAGATGCCTAAATTCAAACGACACAGCCAAATCTCAAATTAATTAGATTTTATAACTTAAGGGGGAGTTTAGGTTATCAGAATATAAAAGATTGCAGTCTTTCTCTTTACTTTTAGCTGTATAGTTTTCTATTTAAGAGTTGCCAGCTTTCAGCTGCCAAGTTATAATTCAGATGAGGCTGAATTTCAGTAATAGTCAAAATTATTCTTAAACACAGCTTGTTTGTAGAGCTGTTTGGGACACATCAAAGACCTGTGTAAATGTTTTCTCTGAAGGTAGAGTATTCAGGTCAGATACATAATATGTTACTGGTGCCTTAAATTTAGGAATTTTCCTACACTTCAGTACTGTCTCTCTCTTTCAGTGTATCAGGTTCAGAAATGCAACTGATAGCCAACTGGCTTTTCTTTTAAGAAGGCTCAAAATCCTTGAACAAATTAACAAGTTGTGAGGGCTTCCAAAGGGAAATTGCCTAGACTGGAGTTTGTCTGAGGAGAGTTTGTCATCAAGAGGAATTCTCTGCCATCTAAGAAATCTTTCACCAGCAGTAGACATCCCTTACATAGAAAACACTGCCAAGCACTTATGGAAATATTTGAACTGGAAATGACTGACTAATTGATTGACTGGGCTTTTTCTACCACAGCCTTTTTTTTTTTCTCCCCCCCCTTTTTTTTTCCTCTTTTTCAATCAGGCAGTTTAGAAATGAAAGACATTCCTGGCCACGACTGCTTACTCAATTGACTCAATTTTCCCGTTTCCTCCCTGGCTTCCGCTGGGATTGCTGCGACAGGGAAGTTTCATTGTGCTCTGTTTCAGACTCATCTCCTGCGGCTCAGGCCCAGAGTTTTATTGGCCATTTGCAAACCCTCCTGAAACCACGGGTCTGAGGGGGAAATTGGCCCCGTAAGGCCTCAGAACTGCCTCTTTTATTATCGTCCTAAAAACTGTGCAGCATGCTGAGGGTCATGCGAGGGGTCAGGGTCATCGCAACCACGGGAGGTAACAGGCTGAGCACCAACACCCCCAGCACCGAGGCCGGAGGCTAGGAAGCCCCACGTGCTCTCAGTGTCAGAAGGCAGCCAGAGGAACGGCTTCACCAGCAGGGACGAGAGCTTGGAGCATCCTTCTGGGCACTGGGAGGTGTGGATTCAAACCTTAGCAATGAATGGTGGGTGCCGAGGGATGCTGGATGAAGTGGGTCTGCGGCAGCACTGGTCCTCAGATCCTATTAGAGGGGACTGTAACATGGCTTGCTTGTGAAATAAAGGGTTTGTTCAGCTCTGGAAGAGGCTTCTGGGCTGAGAACCCCAAACAGAGGCACCTCCTGGTAGCCCTCTGCAAGGTGCCCGAGGTCTTGAGAGGAGCACGGCGTTTCTGCTTCCCATGAGCTGTTTCTCACATTGAGGCAGTCTCACCATTCAGGAAGGCACGTAAAGGCCCCATCAAAACCCAGTCCTTGAAATCTTGCAAGTCTGCATTTCCCACTTTACCTTTGTTCAGACCTCTGCAGAGCCCTTAGCTGTTTGGAGCAGCGTTGGCTTTTCATGTTAAGCACGCAGCACAATACCTTTCATCAACGTCTTTTCCCCGGAGCGCTGTTTACATGAAGCCTGTTCCTTTTAAGAGATGCAGAGCTTGCTCCTTTCAGCAGCCTCAAGTGATCAGCTTGCAGCACTTGAACAAGTTTCCCTGTCTGGGTGAACTCCAAAATAGAGAACTCATCTTTCCTCGTTTTTTTCTCCCTTGCTGCTTTTCCCACAGGATGACACGTCAGGACGGGCAGGTGTCCCTCGCAGGGAGTCTCCCTCCAGCCTCGGGAGAGATTAATTTTTTCAGGCTGTCAGCACTCCCTGAGAGTGCTTCAGACTTTTCTCTCCAATTGAATAATTCTTGCTTTGTTGCTGCAAGTTGCTGGTCATTTCATCCTCTGGTAAGATCCCTTTTTTTCCTCGATGACAAGAAGTTTGGAATTGCCTTTTCTTTGACTAAGGCTTTTGCTTGTTCAGGCCTCCAGTGCTCTGCCCTTCAGGCAATGTAGTGCTTAACCCTCTGGCTCCCTGTTTAATGGCGCACGTCTTGTTCTCAAAGAGCACCTGGAGAAGAGAGAAAAGATGCCTTACAGGCATTTTGCAACACTTTGATAGGCAGGAGGGGGACTGCAGTTCTGTCTGGGAAGATCTGCTAGGGGCAATGTCACTGCCTTCCATGGCCAGGATGCTTTCTCTCCCCTTATCTTCTTCTAATTCATGGCCCCGTGAAATAGAGGCGAAATGAGACTATCGGCATCAGGATGTGAAGTCTGAGTGTTATCAAACATTAAAAAAGGTTAATTTCCTTCAGTTCAAAGGATCGCCCAGGAGAAAATTGAGTATTGCAATGTGTGAACCAGGCTGTTAGCTCAGATACAGGGCTGTGAAGACTTAACCTTACGGCTATAAATTGCTACCAAGGCAGCTGCCAGATGCCGTTGCTCTGGTCTTGGTGGCAGGCAGCCTCGTGAGAGCTTTGCTGAACTTCTCTGCCTGCAAGGAGGCAGCTTGGAAGTGCTAGGACAATGGGCTGAGGACAGTTCATTGTATTTCAAGTGTGGCATAATATTTGTTTAGTTTTTATAGTTCTGACTTGTCGAACTGAGTTAATGCATTAAAACTGACGTGACAGCTTTTTGATATAACATGATTTCTAAATGAATCCTATCAGTTAAAAAAAAATAAAATATTTTAACATAAGTTTACTTACAAGCAGTAATACCAGCTTGGATTTCTAAGTCTGGAAGAATTTTAAATCTGCCTCTGTATTTTTCTGTTGGACTTCGCATGGATAGGTCGCTGTATTTACGTGCAGTCAGTGATGGCACCAGGGCCCAAATTTGGGTTTCATCACAGAATTTGCATTTCATGGTCACAAAAGGTGGAATGAGAGCGGTCACTTTCACTTTCCTTTTTAAGGGCTATTTTTAATGTGCTTCATTTTCTGGCTCCCCTCCATTTGACCTGTGGTGTAATGTTTGGATTAGAGATGCTGCTGGGGAAACATTAAATCCAAACAAACTCCTTTCCACCCTGTTTTCTTGAAATCTTTCTTGGATAGTCACTAATACTCTATTTTTTTTCCATTACATTCTCTGCTAAACACAGACACACTCTAGAGATCTCATGATTAGTAATTTCCCAAACCTAAAGCAGCTTTAATGCTTTTTTTGCCTGTTCTGTATCAGAGGGCAATTAGAAACACCATGGCATTTGCTTGTTTGATTTATGTTTCTTTGCTTTATTTAATTAATTATTTATTTTTTCATTGTTTTTTCCTGAGGATGGGCTGGAAGAAGTGAGGAATTAGAAACCCTGGAAATCCTTGGCACTTAACTTCAAAATAAACTTCTCCCCTTGGTAGCATGTCTGCATATGAAGGGTGTTGAGTCATTCAAGGGTTGGTCCCTTACACGGTGATGTACAGAAGCTTTCTGCATGACACTGCCTTCAGTCACACCTCGAGATGTATGAGTTCCTTCTTTCACAGCACGCGGATGTGTTCAGGCTTCCTGAAGCCACGCAGCCCATGCAGATGCGATGCAGGCAAGCTCTGGGAACGTTTTGAAGAGGGATATTCCCATTTTGCAGAGAGCGTGGCAGAAGCTGAATGAAATATTCAAAGCTCAATATTAAGAATTTAATAAATGGATCCTCCTTGGCTGATTCCCCAGCAGATATTTGCCCAGCAGCAGAAAGAAGTGAAGGTCAGAAGCAGAAGAGAATAGGAGAGCGAGTGATCAGGGCAGGATCAATGGCAAGCTCTGCCGTGGCTGTGTTCTGTCTGAATCCTCTCCGAAGCCAAGCTTCCTGAGAAGATGCAGTATTTCTCTACCTTGCTTTATCCATCTTTTATTATTTTATTTCAAGTCTCGTAAAATCAGCAACTTGCAATGCAATAAAATCTCTGCTTGCTTTGTCTGTGTCCAACACAACTATATATCTTCCCCCTTACACACCACACCTGGGATAACACAACAAGGGTTCTCCTTCTCATGTCTTCACAGAGTGCCTTTGTTCCGGAATTTTAAAATCAAATCATTTACTTTGCATCCTGTTGTTGGATAAAATATGTATTTCATATGCAGCTTTGGTAACCCAAGTAACTTATGAGACTTACATTCTTCCTGCTGCTGCAGCGTATTTTTTTCAAAAATATCTGGTTTGAGTTGATGAATCTGAGAACTATAATCTGTATTTTTATTATGAGCTTCTTGGCACTGATATGTAATAAATTCACTTCATTACCCCATCCAAGAGAAATACTGCTAAGTTGAGGGTCATGAATGTTTCATATCAATATCCTGTCTTTAATAAATCCTGGTCACTTCTGCAAAAAATCTGTCTGCTTTATGTTTTGGGATATTTGTGAGGAAAAATATGGAAAAATGAAATGTTTCAGTCTGCAACTTCCTTCCTTTTCACGGCCTTTGTCTCCTTTGTTTTCCTGATGGATATTGATCGTATGTGCTCACTAGTCCAGGCTGCAACTGCGCTCGGGAGTAGGAACTGAGTCAGTCCGTCCCTCCCTGTCCAAAATCTCTAACCACTAGCATTTTAAAGCTTACCGGAGGAAGAAGAGGTGGTTACTGGAACTGGAGCCATCTGCCTTCCGAATCCTAAATTACTTGTATATAAAGCATTGCCCCATGTTAAAGAGGTTCTAGCCTAAATGCAGTCACGATGCAAAAACCTCGGGTTTAACAGAGAGGAATTGGACTGGTCCTTCTCCGTTTAGCTTGGATCCAGCTGCTCTCTGTCCCTACCCACCCTGGGCAGGCTGTCCCAGTTCTGCTGGCACATGTGGTGGTCAGGACAGCAGAAAGCACAGTCACAAACGTCTAAGATTGTCTGCTTTTAACAATTGCTATGATGGCAATCAAAGAGCTGTCTCCGAGAACAGGCAGCGGCAAATTCCTTTGGAGGAACGCAAGAGCAGGACGCAGACAGAGTGACCCTTGTGCTTATTGTTCCTGCTTTCAGTAGTCAGCAACTTCGGGACTTGTGCAAGCCGTCACTCATCTCTTCTGGGTCTGCTTCTCTGCCTGGTGGCGGTGCTTTGTGCGAGGGGGCCCGCTCACTTCGGCAAGAGCTTCCCACCCGCCGCGCATTTTCTCACCGTGGCAGTCCAAGACTGGTAGTCTTCTGGTGTAAGGGAATAAACCCAGAAAACATTCGTGATACGAAAAGGTGCAGTGCCTGACCGGCCTGACCAGCACATGGCTAGGGCTCACCGGCACTACTACATTTTAGTAGTCAGAAGCCTTTCTCAGGATAGCATTGCCTGAGCCTTGAACTTTGCTGGTGTCCCTGTCTTCCCAATGGGCTGGCATCTACACTGGCACCTCGTTTGTATTTGCTTTGATTAGTTTGCATCTTAGGGACAGACAGACAACATTGGAGATGATCTGGTGACTTTGTGAGGGAATTACCTACAGTGAAAGAAAGTGGATGAAATGAAAATAAACGAAGCGTGTATATTCTTATTGTGGTGAGCATCACAGGAGATGATCCTACAGGGCCCATGCTGGTGCAGAAACCTAGTTCTGGAGGAGATGAAGCCATATCATTAGGTATAAGAACAGTTGTTATCTACAAAAAAACTCAAGCTATGTTCTCATAACAAATGAAAGCATAGTAGTTTCCCAAATGAGCTGTGATACCAAGATTTCAGTTTACTTTGGAAGATGCTACCAGGATGTAATTTCATAGGTGGGTTTTCTGCGCTGTTATAACTTGTCAAAACACACTTCAGTTAGTCCAGTTACTGGAATCCCCTGGAGGAAAGCAGCCTTCAGAGGAATGAAAGCCACAGTTTACCGACACAAATAGTTTCACCATCTGTTGCATAATAGGGTGACTTGCTTGGTTATTCCATTGGTTTTTGGTCCTATCCATACTGAAAGGTATTTGGAAGTAAAAGCCCAGACTACGTTTAATGGTGTGATCCTTTTTTTTTGATGTCAGGGTAAGGAAAGAGGAAAGAAAAAAAAGTAAGGGAAGCTTAAGGAAATTCCTAATAATCCCATCCCTTCTGGGATGAAGGGGGAGGGAAGACTTGCTGTGTACGTGGAAGGCAGGAAGCATGATTTTGCAATTATGGTGCATGACCAAGACTCCAGCTTTTCAGCTCTGCCACAGATTTGCCAGCCGTTCTCCACTCCCCTCAAAACAGGCAAAATTAAAATAATCCTGGGAGAGCCCTGGTGCCTTGCAAGGAAGGACACGTGTTTTTTTCTGCCTGATGCTGTTGCAGAATATCTGGCCCCATCAGCTCTGCAAGCTTCCTAGGTGTCCTCCCAAGAACAAGAGCAGGGTGGGTCCATATTCAGCCTGTCCTGTGCGGGGGCTATGGGGCCCTTCATGTGCAGCGTACATAAAGAGTGTTAGCACTGCTGTGAATAGAAACTGTCTGCAGCGTGCATAAACTACCCTTTGTTTGGGGAAACAGGACAAACACCAGATATTAGAACTATTGGCCTGAAGCTCCTGACTTTATTGCTCATTGTTTGGTTTGCTTTCAGCTCACAAAGCGATACTTTTCCACTCTGACTACAGCTTATCACACCGAGAATGTGCGGTGCTGCTGCAGTTGCCGTGGCAGACTTTGCTCCCAGTGACACGATCCATGTGGAGAGCAGCAATTCCACGCGGTGCAGCTAAAGGCTCGCTGAAACCTGGGAGAACAGCTGGCTTGGCTGACGGATATATGTACTCTGTGATGCTGTTATTGAATTGGGGCTGACACCATAAAATCCAGCCCATCGGTGCTTTATCACTTGTGCAGGGTTGCTGCGTTCCAGCTGCACTTTCTGGCTGAGCAGTTGCTGGTGGTCTGCTGAGAAGCTACGTGTGTGTGTGTGTGGTTGGGGTGTTTCCTCCGTCCGTACCTCCAGGTGCAAGCAGATCCAGTCGTGGAGGAAAGAGTATGAGAAGTGTTTGTCCCCAGACCTCATCATATTTCCCAGAGCTGATATTTTTGTTGGTTTGCGTGGAGCTTACTTGTGCCAACGAAGGTTGCTGGACTTTCACTTATTTCGTGTTTTGTAGGTAGTTTTTGAGCATGAGGAAGCCAACGCCCTGCTGCTGGTTGAGGGAGGCATTGAGTTACATCTCGCAGTATCTGGGAGCCCTTCTGCGCTGCGGGAAGGGAGCCTTCCCAGAGGAAGCCGTGCCGCCGGGTAGTTGCAGCATGCCCTTGAAGACTCTGCTGGCACGGGCAGGTTGGGTTAACAGCCAAAATTTATTGGAGGTTCCTGGCCAAATAATAATAATAAATAATAATAATAAAAAAAAACAGCTGAAGGAATGAACTAAATCAGTATGTGTTTCCGTCACTGTCTTTTCTGGTGCAGTCCTGCCTTACATACTTGCTAGTGCAAATGAGGTCTGGGCTTGTTCTTGTGTCACAGTTTTTTTTTTTGGTGGCAGACACAGTATGACCAGCGCGACAGGTCGCATTCTGCACCTGGTGCTGTAGTGCTCTGAACTGTGGGATTTTCCGGCTGGGAATTCAGATTTCTGCTGTAGCCTCAAAAAAACCCAACCACAAAACCAAAGCACCACCACCACCGATTAAAGCGGGAAGATTGCTGTAGGTAGCTAATTAAAAATTGTGTAATGGCAATTATGTAGTCTGGCTTGATATTTACTCCTGAAACATGTGAAATAATAGTTTGAGGGAGAGAACTGGAGAGGAGCTATTTTTGCTTTGGTAAAGAGAGCAGCATTCTTTATTTCTGAAAACAGCCGGGGGCCGGTTTGGCAGAAAAATCTTAAACCAGCAGCCGTCGTGCTTGCCATCTGCTAAGACAAAGCAAGCCTTAAACAAGGTTGACTCCCGAGTAGAAACAGAGGCAGCGTGCAGTGCACGCACATGCTCCTCAGTGATTCTGGGGTCCCAAACTTGAGGCTCAAGCCTCTGCACATCAAAATCATTTAACTCTGTGGTCCTGGGGACTTTGCTGGTCACTCCTGTCTCTGCCTCTCCTTCTGCACATGGGAAAGCTGCTGCGCTTTTGTCCACCCCGGTCGTCTCATAACTCACGGGGGCTTTGCTCCCTCCTTCCCTAACATGCGGAGACGGTGGGGATTACACCGGGGGTGTGTAAAGCCAACTGGCAGAAGGAAAGCAACACAAGCTGTGCTTCCACGCTGGGCTATGGGGTGTGATTTATACATCCTAGACCCCAAAAAACATTTTTTTAAAGATGCAGTTTAAGAGAAAAATTCAGGCTGACCTCTTGCCACACACAAGGCTGGGCTTTCTGATAAACAAAGCAGAGGCAGAGAGTTACCAGCTCCCTGCTGCCTTCGGTTCCAAGTGCCTGTATTAGCTGGGCACTCATGTAGGAAATTTTTAATAAAAAAAAATGGATTCTCAACTTCACTAAAAAAAAAAAACGAAGAAGAAGAAGAAGAAGAAAAATCTGTCGTGGTGGAATTTTTTCTATGTTTTTTTTTCCAACAGAAGCTGAGGAAATCGTTATTCTCCCTGTCGCTTTCCTTCCCACTTGAAAAAATGGGAGGGGAAGGAGCGAAAAAGCTAGAGAAAGAAGAAAAAAAGAGAAAAATAATTCATTGTTTAAAAGTGGGAGGGGATTTTTATTACAGCAAAGCTTGCAACACACCTTTGGCGCAAGAGATTCCACCCATCTGGCCAAAGTACTGCATATTGGGCCAGCACGGACTGCGTGACAGACAACTGCATATTGCACATCTGTGACCAGGAGGGCTGTGTTCCTTGTGAAGGCACGGGGGTAGCATGCTGCTGCAGCTCCAAGAGCCTTCACCAGCTGCAGCACAAGGCAGGAAAGAGAGGAGGGATGGATGAGACAGCAGGAGGTCTAAGTCAGTGCTAAGAGTGGGAGACCAGAAGCAATTCACACTGTGGATTGCCTGGGAAAATCTATTACTTTGTGTAAGTGCAGACGCCAGGATTTGGCTCAAAGGTGTTTTTTCAAATTAATCTCAATGTCTTGAATTCCACTTGATGAAAAACTAGAAGCAAGTGGCAGCGTGGAGGCAAGGTGCAGACTTTGAAGGATGCCCGGGTAGGCTGTGGCAGTCGATCTTCTGTCGTCTTGGCGTAGCTTTAAGTGAAGGCAGCAGTTCCTTTGAGAAATGGTCACGACAGCACCTGCGTCCACAAAGAGAAGGTGCCAAAGACCCTCAGTTGCCTTAGGAAAACAAACCACCAGGGCTATTGGTGTGGATGAAGCACTTCACCGACCTCCACGCAGCACGAGATGTGTCGCTCGGAGGGACTGCTGTGGTGGTCGTGTATCAGGGCATTACCTGCAAAGGCTGAGCAGGGGGAGGAGGCAAGGAGCAGGCTACTGGTGGCAGGAATGTCTCACAGGCAGGAGATATCTCAGATGTCTTAATGAGTTACCAGCAGTCATTGATTGACCAAAGTTATGTGAAACATGGTTGGGTGAAACCTCGCTGTTTCCATCCTGCAGTTTAAGTGTGGGGGAGCTCCTCTGTATAGAGCCTCAGCTCCGTGGGTCAGACGTGTCAGGCGGGCCTGTGCTGGGCAGAACTGCAAGACTGGAGCCCCAGCCTTGTCACAAAGACAAGTCTCACAGAGTCTCTATCATTTCAGCCCTTCTAGCTCAAAGAACTACTGGACATCAGTCTGCTCCCATTGGTTGTCATCATATCACTGCAGTTTCAAATTCCAGTATTTTCAATTCCATACTTACAATGATTTGGGACAATTTATTACTGACATTTCTAGGACCCTGTAAGTTAAGCTTTCTGATTAAAACAGCAGAGGCATACTGGATCTCCACCAGCATCTGAAGATGGACACCTGTCAAAGCAGTGGTCATGAGCAGGAAATGCAGCGTGGGTGACCTGGATTGCTCCTCGCTGTCTCTCTGATCCCTTCTGATTCTTCTCCTTCTTCACCTGTGTAGGCCCAGCTCCTCAGAGTTGTTGTAACTCTCTGATGGCAATCTCCGCATACATAAATTCATACAAGCAAAGCCTTTTTCAGGGTCTGGGCCTGAGATTGAAAACTCTCCAGCACAGCATCTGTCCTTCCTACATGCTCATATTTAATACAGTGAGGACGGTCTCACTGGGAGTTTCCAGACAGTACAGTGTGGAAGCCATAAAATACAGTAGTCCAGATATCAGCAAGGCTAGAAGGCTGTTGGGTTAGAGTTCCTGGAAAGCCTGGGATGGTGTACAAGTGAGGTAATATCTAAAACATCTTCAAATATATTTCTAAATCAAATGTTGCACAATTAAGTTAAGGCTACAGAGGAATAAAAAGTAGAGGCAGATTTGCTTTTCTGTGGAACAGGGCAAGTGTGTCATATTTAATGATTCCCACAGAAAAATGTGAACTTCAAATTAAAGCCAAAGTTGTTTTGTCAGTCGAACAGTTTAATCATATTGGGACATCCAGAGCTGTAGGCCCTCGCATAAAACAAGAAGAGTTCTCACCATCTCTTTCTAGCAGGGTTTTGCCTTTCCCTGGGTTTTCTCTTTTAATCTAATAGGTATATTCATGCAGTAATTACACTTTTCCACAGGGTCAGAGACCGATGAGCACCAGGGCTGTGCTGCAGATTGCTTCAGCTGCCTCCTGCTGTCCCTGCGTGAAGCTCTGATCTTTTTTGACAGATACTCTCAAGCTGTGTTTCTTAATGAAACTGTCTTTAAAATAGCAGTCTGTGGGGCTACAGAGCTATGATTTTTTTTACAGTTGTGTATCTGAAACAATTTTATATGTTGTTTGAAATTGCTTCATTAAGCTGAACACAGTAGTTCCAAACATACTTCTGCTCCCTGTAGGCAGCAGCACTTACAGATGCAGGCATCTTCGGTTGCCTAAGTTTCTCCAGTTGCGTGTGGAAATAATTGCAAGACACAAAGAACAATATTAAAAATTCCTCGTGCTTTCCTTGCTTGGTTTATGGCAGAGGTCTGTTGAGTCAAATACTTTGTATCTGGCTTGTTTAAAGATGACTGCTGTCTTCTTGTGCTGTTATTGAGATTCTTGTCCACAGTTTCACAGTCTACCTGCACAGAATTTCCAGAAAACACTGCTGAAAACGCTTTGCAGTTTTTGTCTTGAGTATCCCAACTCATTTGGCAATTTTGGAAGTAAATACCTTCATAAATCTTTAGATTCCAAGATGTCTGTAACAAGAACTTTGCATGCTGTGGCTAAAGAGTTAAGACAATTTAAACACAGTATAAATAGCAGTAAATAATGTGTTTTAAAAAGCCTGAGTCACAGGTACTTTCACATTCTTGTTGACCTCTTTCAAGTGGACAAGAAGACCTCATTTTCAATCCAAAAAAAAAACAGAAATTAAGATGTTTAAATAAATCAATCTTACATCTTTAGGACAGAACTCCAAGGCTTCATAATCACCTTAGAAAGCAGGGATCTTACAAACTGAGGGAAAACTGAAGCATTTAAGCCAAATTTTCATCTGTCTTCTGCACTTGAACTTGTCAACTTTGCACATGAACCCTCTGTACCTGTTATCATCATATTTATGCACACTAAAGTGCAAGTAAAAGGTCAGGTTAGGTAGCAGGGCTCTGTGTAGTTTGTTACACAGTTCACATATGCTGATGTGGTATGTCGTATTTCCTCAAATGGAAATTTGAGGATACTTTCTCAGAATGTGTCGGCCGCGCATCTCAAAAACATTTGGTTAGTCTTACTGCAACCCCCGCACAAAATTAGGTAACATGTTTAGTGTGAGGCTCAAAATATTCAGCCTTGGCTAACACCAAAACCAATTAGAAGGTCATTGCTTCACCACGTGTTTTATTTCTGTATTAAAGTCAACCAGCACCTAGCAGTTCCTCTGAAAAAGGAAGGAAGAGAAAAACTGTGAAGTCTGCAGTTCTAGCACAAAAATTGTCAGCATTATAAAAAGCCCTTATCTCTTTGTTTATGAGTTTGTTAACTAGAAAGATGTTTGCTTAAGAATTATTTTTTTTCTTCTTTGAGATTGCTTTACCATTTTTAACTTTAGGAGGTAGCTGTCATGTCAAGAACAGTTGTGGAGCAAATAAGCAGCCCTTCTTGCTTGTTCATAGCACAGTTTCAGCTTTGGCTCCCATGGGGATACAAGCATAGTTTGTATTTCTGCATCTCTGGGACAGAACAGAATTGTCTAGTTTCTTGTTTTGTCTTTTGGTTTTGTTTCAATCTTACTTAGGTTAGGCATAGTTATGTAAAATTCCCAAACCAAGTAAAACAAATCTTTTATGGTCTGTCTGATCTCCCAGCCTTTTCATTTCTGATGTTAAGACATTTT